ATATATATATATATATATATATATATATATATATATATATATATATATATGCTTTATGCACATGCTTACATCGTTTGACTTGGGCAGCTGCTCGGTGGCCATACGACGCCGCTTCTTGGGCGGAAAGGGGCAAGTTTGAGTCACTGAATTCGGCTGCGATTGGGGTTTCGGCTTCTGTTCGTCCTCGTCGCTCCGTTGCTGCAGCTCAGCCTCTGGTTTGTTCTGCAACTGGCTGGCGACAAGCTCACGCGCATGCCCCTCAGCCACCCACTCCGAGCTGTCCGTACTGTTCTCGTTCTCGTGCTCATCGCTGCTAAGCGAATGCTTGATGTGGACCAAAGCGCCCACATCCTCGTCGTCGTTGTCATCGAACTCGTCATTGTCGTCCCCTCTGCGATTGCTGCTGTCCCGCGAGCGACGGCCCTTCACGGGCACCGGCACACCGGGCGTGATGTGCTTCTTGAGAAACTCCAGCTCCTCGCTGAGGTAATAAGGCTTGACGCGATTCGAGCCGCGCTGCACATTGATGGATCGTGCAAAGCTAGTGCGTATATTCCTAAAGCGCTCCTTGCAATTGTCAACTGCAACAGACATTTGAGTTTCAATGAAAATCAAAATCAACATCTATATTGCATCAAAATCAAAATCCAGACTTACCTGTGTCATTCATCTCCTTGGCTATCTCCACCCAGGCCTGTTCCACAAGAGATTTGCGCATGTACGCTGCATGGGAGCGATCGTACATGCAGGGATGCTGCTCCACCAGACGGCAGATCTTGGCGTTCACTGCATGTAGCTCTGGTGTTATGGTCTTTGTGGTAAGCGTTGCCACATATAAGCGGCTGAGGTTCCGTTTGTTTGTTTTGATGCTGCCCGTGCTGCGTCGTGTGTTCATATTGTTGCTGTCGTTGTTGTTAATATTGTCGCCGTTGGTGCTGTTACTGCAGATGTTGCTGCGTGCACTACAAAATAACAAAAACAACAAATATTTATTCGACTCGTCCGTCAACTGCGCAGCAACACACTCTCAAACCAAATTGCAGCTTGGCTGCGTCTGTTTCCACAGCAACAACTGTCAACGCTCTCTGCGCTCTCTCTCTTCTTCACAGACACACACACACACACACAGAGAGACTCACTCACTCAGGCAAGCAAGCCAAAACAAACCGTGGCGTGCAGGTGACAAGAGAAACAAATTCCAGTTGTTCCACGCTCATGCAGAAACTGTTTCGGACGTTTCTGTTGCCTGCAGGGCGCAACAGCTGTTTCGCGCGTTTTCTGCTGGATGCCAGCAACAATTATATTTATTGAAATCCGCCAGCTCTCGCGGTGCTGGCTTGCATTATGCTCACCTACCTGTAGTTCGCTAAGTCCGTTTATTGCCTTTTTCACTTGTTTTGTTGTTGCTGCTGCTTTTGTTACTGTTGCTGTTGTCGCTATTGCTGCTGCTGTTGCTGCCGCGGTGAAATTGCTGTTGCTGCTGCTGCTGCTGTTGCTGAGTTTAGTTCGCACGCTCGCTCGCTCACACACTCTTACAGTTTATTTGGGTTAACGAATGTATGCTCTCGCGCTCACTCTCAGCAATTTACTGACGATGTTGCTGCTGTAAGGCGTTAATAAGAGAATGGAAAATGTGACAGAAAATGCAATGGCAATGTGTTTAGTAACTAGAATGTTCAACTATCAGCTGTCAAGTTTACGTTCTATAAATGACATTTAATCCATGTTTCACACACTGAACTTTACTGGCATCTACAATGAGTACATACATCCATACAAACAACACATACACAAACGAATTTATATTGTCGTACACAGCTTGCTTGCCGGCAAAAGGCAACTCAAAAGATACATAGGCGCTGTCAGCATTAACAGAAACACGAGGGGATCAGTAAAGTATTGTGTTGAATCACCCTTAAACCACTTATAAATTACACGACGCTACTGCTCACGCACACACTGACAACTGCTCTCCCAGAGAGAATGAAGAGCGGCGTTGCCAGCTTAAAAGTCGTTGCTACAGCGAGTCGGTTAATAATAATAACGGCTGGCAGTGATGTTCGATCGGCAGATATATATTGTAGAACTGGTTGTGCGGTGTAGCCCTGGTCTTCCAGCGGCTAATAATACAGACCGCTTTATTCAATATAATAAGACTACTTACAAAAGTATGAAGTAAGGTTCACGAGTTTATAAGTAGCACAAAAAACGAAAAATATTAGCAAACTGCAGTTCAACCTTGTTTTGGATATAAATAACAATCGAAGAACAATCGTCGACGGCAGCAACAGTGCAACCCTCCCAGTTGGCCTGCCAATTTAGCTTGCGTCCGCAACACCAACACCAATGCACACGCCTCTCTCAGCACTCTCGCGCTCTCTGACGGAATGTACGTGCGAGTGTGTATGTGTGAATGCTTGCGTATGTGTGTGTGCCATTTTCGCAGCTGTGTCAGTTCGTTTTACATACGACGCGTGTTGGTGTCGGCAAGTTTCTCGCTCGAATTGTATTTGCTGTGAAATAAATATAAAAACCTACTGAAAGTGCTCGTTGGTGTGTGCGTGCTGTGGCTAAGCCATGTCTACATATAAATCAAATGTAAAATTGTGCCGCGCTATTGCAAATCAGCCGATATTGTATGATGAAAGTAATGAACATTATAGAAAAAGATTGCCTTCAGAGAATTGCTGGGATTTAGTCGCTTCAGAGTTGGGAGAGCCTGGTAAGTAGTGTTGCAAAGTGAGGCGTGCGCAATTGCGCTTATCGTTATCGTGTATCGGCTGCTTGGACAACTGTTGCAAGCGAGTTGGCAGCGCGTGCAGTGCTGTTAAGCGACCAAATCTAACATGCCAATTCGAATTGGAATTAACGATGTTAACTTTTTGAAATATATACTCGATATCTAATAACTATAACAGCAAATTTTATTTGAATTATTGTAGTTTTATTTGTTATTCTACACAGCTTTTGAAAATTACAAAATATAAATTGTATTATTATTAAAAAATAATGAACAGCCGTAATAACAGCTAAAAAAGTTTAGTAAATACTTCCGCTCAGCTTGCATACTTGTGTTACTCATCGAAAATGTTATCGATAGTAATAATAATTGTAGTTATCGATTTATATAATTGGTCATCATTGTTTAGTGAGCAAAAGAGTTTTCGCATCTAAATGTCGTGTGAGTTTTAAGCTAAATATTAAGTTTTTGGTGAGGTTATCATACATAAACAGTTATTAGCAGCCATTGATTTTGATTGATTGAACTGTGATTTTTTGCTTCATTAAAAGTTGCAAATCATTTTCTAATTCGATTTTTCTTAAAGCAGTCTCCCCCGAGTGTCTCTAAAGTGCTCTAATGTTTTTCTTACCGAAAACTTTCAATTAAAAGATATCGAAACAGTGAGGTTATTAATTTTAAGCACTGACGTGTATTTCGATAAAACATACAAAAATATGTTTCCACATATTTTTGACTTCACTAATATTTCAATAAACGTATATATGTCTTTACATTTTTAAATGGTGGGAAACTTCTTAGGCTTGCTGCGTTTTCTTTAATATTACATGAAAAGTTTATTTAGCAATTTGCGGCTTATGTAGTTTATAATAATCTAAGTGAAACGAATTGGCAAGAGGATTTCCGGTGCTATTTATTAAAAATATATAGTTAAATTTGTTTGCATAAATATTTAAATTTATAAATATAATTAAAAAGAAAAAAAGACAGAAATCCTAAAACATTCATATATGAACAAATATTTAAATATAAAAATATACATATGTTACTATGTATATTAAGTCTTATTTTAAGTAGAGTTATCATTTATTAATCAAAATATAAACACATAATTACATGAAAAATGTCATATTTTTATTTTATTAAAAAAACCTAACATAATATTTTTATTTTTTAAAGAAAAAGTATTTTTTAAAACGGCTCGAAATATTCTATTTCATATCAATTTTTTTTTTTTGGCTATTATTTTGATAATATATTTAAAATCCAAATGCTGTTCAGAAGGGAAATTTCCGCTATTATACTCTTATAAAAGTATAAAAGTATAAAGAGTTATACTCTTTTATATAATCCTAATATGCTTATTACATTGTTCATCACTTAGTGAAAAGAGATAGTCCTGCTGTCGACTATTTGATACATAGCAGATTCACTCTAGAAACCGAAGCCATTCGATAAAACATAAACATGCCAATTTAATATTAGAGACGATCAATTTTACTGCGCCTGTCTGGGACGTGAACTATATACATGTGGGCTATAACATTCGATTATATTCAGATATTAATTTATTTACTTTATATGTATTAGTAGTTTTATTTAGTATTTATAATAACTTAATTGTAATTTTGTAGACGCCTTCGTCTGAAATAGTTGTATTTAGTCTTATTATTATTATTAGTTTAACGAAAAACAATTTTCCTTTTTTTTTTTTGCTTTAGATATCGTGGTTTAATATCGGAAGACATTAAGAGCCGTCAAATATTTTAAGAGAAAACCCTGAAATAAGAATTTTTGTCAAGGCTGAAACTTGAGTAATTCGACATCGAACGTGTTTACATTTATGACACTTATTGAGTTAGGATTAGAGCTAAGAAATTGCGGTCGCCTCTTAAGCTGAACATCTGTTTGGTTTCGTAGCCCTTTAGCGCAGGTAGCTAAGTGAAATCCACCCACCTAGGCAACTGTTCATTTACCTAGGCGCCTGTCCATCCCTACCTCCCTCTCTCTCTCTCTCTCTCTCTCATCTAATGCATCTATATATATGTGTCTCCCTCTCTCACTCTCTCTGTCTCAGCGGATAAGTGCAAGCGTCGCTGGCGTCAGATTCGTAACGATTACGTGCGTTGGATATCATCGGACAATCAGCGTCAACGCAACGGACAGAAGCGACCGGGGTTTTACTTGGCCGAAGAGCTTCAATTCTTGAATCCGCATCTGTCGGGTGCCGATCGCGAACGAGATTCGCCGGAGAGTGAGCGCGGTAGCGAGCGAGATAGCAAGAGCAAAAGCAAAGAGCCGGCGATCGAGGAATATAAAGGCAAGCAGAAGGACATTGACGAGTCAGTGGAGGAGCAGCCGCTGGCCAAGCTCAAGCAGACGGCCAAAGATAAAGAACTAGAGAAAGAGAAAGACAAAGGCAAAGAGAAGGAGAAGGAGAAAGACAAAGAGAAAGATAAAGATACAGAAGAGCGTAAAGAGAGCATAAATAAAGACAAAGTCAAGGAAAAGGATAAAGCTACTGATAAACGAGCGGACAAGGAACGGAAATCTCGGTCAGAAGGCCCCGTCACGCCCACATCCTCCGAGGACTCGCCCGTGGGCAGCTCGAAGCAGGAGTTTTTCATCAAGCAGAACAACAGCAACAGCCTCTCCAATTGCCTGATCATTGGCGTGAAACCGGCCGGCTCCTCGGCTAGCGACTCACCACTGCTCGACTCGATGGCGGACGACAGCGCCGACGAGACCGCCAGCATGGGCGGCGGCCGGCGCTTGCGGCGTGGCGCCAATCGCACCAAGAACTCGGCCATACAGAAGGCGAGCGTCGAGCAGCGCCTGACGCGCCTGCAGCGTCGCAAGTCCATGACCATGGCGGCGGCCAACAGCTTGCTGAGCTCCACGTCGCCGGTGAAGATGACGCCGGTGCCCCGAACCAGCATGCCCGCCAGCACCACCGCCAACGCCAACGCTGGGCAGCCAAAGGCGGGCAATAAGGCGCCCGCCAAGCATGCGCTGGCCGGCGCCCGGGATGACATATTTCCACGGCCAAGGGCCGCGGCGCCGGTCAACCAGCAGGTGGTGCTCGCTCGCCATCCTGGCGTGCCGCTCCAGATGCCGCCAAAGTTGCAGCCGCCGCAGGGCGTGCAAGCCATGCCGCCACGTCCTAACTACGGCATCGGACGTCCGCCGGGCCCTGCACGGCTGGCGGCCAATGCCCAGGCTAAACGTCTACTGGCTGGGGCTGCACCACCCGGACCCCGGGCCAACTTCCCCGGGCAACAGCGCCCGCCGGCGCCCGATGGCTTCAAGGCGCCCGCGACCAGCTCCGCGCCAACCTCGCAGGCGCAGGCGCAGGCTCAGGCCCAGCTGCAGCAGCAGCAGCTGCAGCCACAGCGAGGCGTCTCCTCGAGCAACACTCTCGTGATCAGCACCACCAACAACAGCTCGGTGAGCAGCTCGAGCGGCATCAGCAGCATGGCCAACATGTCCAACATGGTCAGCTTGAGCAGCCTTGCGAGCATTGCCGGCTCCAGCAGCGGCTTCAGCCTCAGCGCCAATTCCAACTCCAATTCCACGCCCAGCTCGAGCTTCGGCACACAGACAGCCTCGATCACCGCCTCGCCGATTGTGAGCACCACCCCACCCACCATAGCGCTGATCAAGCGCTGCGAGCGGGGCAACCAGACCGAGTGCCAGGACATCTTCTCGGACGAGCACTTCCTGGAAATGGTGCGGCCGCAGATGAAGGAGATGAATCCGCGCCAGAAGATGCACTTCAAGCAAAAGATCTTCCAGGCCCTGATCGAGATCTTTGACGACGCCACCGACTTCCCGGCCAGCGGCGAGGTGCAGCACTTCAATATAAACACCCCGTCGGGCTTCGACCATGTCACCGACGACGAGCTGCGTCTCATACGGGAGCTGGTGAGCATGGTGGGCGCTGCCAAGCATACAGCCGGCTCCAGCCCCGGCACGCCGTTGTTGGCACAGCGTGTGGCCACGCCCAAGACGCCAAGCGCGCTGCCGAACGCCTTCAGGCCAACCCTAAGCACAACGCCACTGGGCGACGAGAAGAAACTCTATCGCATCATGAAGACGAACAACCAAACCAAGATCGTGCCCAATGCATCCCCATTGACGGATCAGCGCAAGGACAGCGTCGACAGCATCAGCAGCAGCTGCACGGTTCCCTTGGCCAGCAGCTCCGCTCGCAGCAGCAGCAGCAGCAAGTTCGCCGTGCCCGGCGTGGCAGTGAAGGCCGTGGCCCGTCCGCTGGATCCCTTGAACCAGCTGTTCGGCCAGGGCGGCAGGCCAGCGGCCGCTACGGCCATCTCGCCCAAGGAGCCCATCCTGGTGCGTCAAATGGGCCGACGCTACTCGGTCTGCGGCGGCGGTGGTCCCGCCAACTCCTTGGGCGCCAATGGGATCAATGCCAACGCCAACATCGACGTGGCCGTGCTCAAGCGTCGCATCACGCCCATAGCACAGCCCATGGCAGCGCCTGCACAGCGGCCGCGCTACTCGCCCAACTCTCAGCCGCCGGTCAACCCGATGGCAGCCATTCCGCCGGGCAACAGCCTGCTGATGCGCCGCGCCGTCAACGCCAACGGCGGCCAGCGCCAGGCGTCGCCGCTGTCGGCGAGCGTCGTGCCCCAGAAGACGCCGCAGATTGCGAGCATTCAGGGCAACGTCTTCAACGAGTTTGCCACGCCCACGGCCGTGCGCGGCGGCAGCGGCGGCGGCGGCTCGCCAAGTGGCATCTCGCCAGGGATGCCGCCGCTCAAGCGTGCCATGATCGTGGCCAATGCCAAGACCACTGCACAGCCGAAGCCAACGACGACCCTGGCTCGCTCCCAGGTGAGCCCGGCCAGCGGACAGGTGAGGTCGGCCAGCCAGTCGCCCGGCTCGAATGTGGCCAATCTCTTGGCCGAGCCACGCCCAGAGGTGCCCAACGCCGACATGGCCGGCACCATTGCAGCGGATGACTTCGACATGGGTCGCCTCAAGCGGGAGCCAGTGGACCCCGATGATACGGTGGATATACTGGGCATTTAAGGGTGCCAAAAAAAATATATAGAATAAGAAAGAAACAACAACAACAACAACATGAAAATGAATACTATTTTTTGCTTTGATTAAAACTGAAAAAGAACTTGACTCGTAATATTAATTTACCAATCTCTTAATTTCTATTACACTACTAATTAAGCACTTTTACATCTGAAGTATGAGATATTCGAATATGCCTTCAGTTCTTGAAGATAACTACACAAAGACAAAAACACACACACATATATATGAATATATAAACAAATTTTTTTTTTCATGAACTGTATTGAATAAAAATGTATTATTGTTAACTGAAAAATGTTTTTATTTGGGCTTTGAGGGTTTTAGGGTTGGCTAGATAAACAATATGGTCGCTTGCTCAGGTAGGCCAGAGACCAAAGAGAGCAGAAAATGGTCGAGCTAATGTCTAGGTGTGGTAAAGAGAGAGAAGACTATATTATTTGCATGACACCTAAATCTTAGGGCTACTGTCTAGATCAATGGAATGTGAAACTGCGCTTTAAAAAGAGATTTGACAGAAGGCGGATAAATAGGGTATGATCTATTGAATATGAAGAGATCAAAATTGAGTGCTTAACATATAGCTTAAAAATCAACAACCAGTAGCAATCAAGGGAGTAGAAATAGTTTATGTATATTGATTTTCTATATGAACAAAACCATTATACCCTGATTTCCCATTTTCAATGAGCCCAGGGTATAAAAAGTCAGCGCTAATCCTTGATTATTACCCTTTTAAATATTTAAAGAAATTTTGTTTGTCAATGCCATAGAAATATCATATCTTACTCTAGGGCAATTAGGTGTTCAGATTAGGCTCTGGTACATCAAACATATGCGGAAAAGTATAAACTTACCCGGGGGTAATTATTTGTTTAGACTTTGGTTGATCAATGTAGACTAGCTCTTTATTTGCACTTTTTATCGATCAGAGTCTCGGACCTACAAACGGTTTATCCTTAAAGAGAAACCAAGAACATCTATACCAAATAAAGGCCTCGACTCATTTAGATATTCTTAAGATCAGCGATCGCTGCTTAAGCAGTTAATGAAATTAGACAATCGTGTAAAATATGGGTACATATGTATGTATATATGCTCCAAGTAAACGCTATAGCTTTATGATAGTTAAGTCTTCCGTGCCCATTTTCAAGATCAGCAGACTTGATAGCGAGTCACCCATATAACACCCACTTGATTTGGTGTGAAGCACACGACACAGTTGAATTCTACACATACATAGAGACAATGTAGGCCTGGACATATACAATATTTTTATAGCAGGCCACTAAATACATGCCAGCCCAGAATCTTATCTGAAGAGCCAACACAACAGCACACCAGGCAGCAGCTTGTAAATTAAATATTAATAATATTCGATAACAACTGGCGAACTGTGGGCTGGCAGTGGTATATATAAACACGATCGCGATCGGCTCGCACGTTTAGTTAACTAAAGAAGAATCCGCCGCAATGAAATACTACGCTATCTGCGCCCTGCTGCTCGTGCCCCTCGTCTATGGCGCTGCCGTGCCCAGGACTGAGAGTGCCGATGTGGATCTGGTGCCCGACATGTCCACAGCCGAGGATGGCAAAATGATCGCTCTGCTGCCCGATATGTCGGTGGCCAGCGATGCCGACTCGAATGCCCAGCCCAGCAAGCGTCACGTGCCGCCCTTCCGTTTCATGAACGAGCAGATGGAGCTGAACAACGCTGACATCGACCTGATTCCCGATATGTCCGTGGCTGCCGACGCTGAGGAGAACGAAGGTGAGTCAATCGATCGCCGATCTTTGAGTGGATGCGTTCATAAACATGCATCATATTAGTTGCCGAGGCTCTGTCTGCTGATGCCGATCTGGTGCCCGATATGTCCGTTGCCTCCGATGGCGAGGATCAGGGTGAGTAGTTGCCTAGCCTCTTTCTGATTGACCTCCACATAAAACTCATTTTCTGGCACAGTCGCCGCTGTGGTGCCCGATATGTCTGCCGCTTCCGAAAGCGAGGATCAGGGTAAGTAGCTAGCTGTACCCCTTTTATATAAAACTGCCCAACTTGAACTACTTTTCCGGATGAATAGTTGCCGCTGTGGTGCCCGATATGTCCGTGGCCTCTGATGGCGAGGATCAGGGTAAGTTCCGAGATATTCCTTTTCTGCTAGACTTTCACTTAGAATCCGTTTACGGTCTAGTTGCCGCTGTTGTGCCCGATATGTCTGCCGCTTCCGAAAGCGAGGACAACGGTAAGTGAGAAACTCCTGAGAGATCTAAACTCCAGCTCAATCTCAAATTCTCCCGAACAGTCGCCGCTTTGGTGCCCGATATGTCCGTGGCCAGCGATGCTGAGTAAAGCTGAAGATCGAGCTTCCGCTCTCTGCTCTGAATACCATCCAAACCCTCCCAAACTCACTCCTATTTTTTGACTGTGTATTGTATATTGTATTTTTTAAGTTTTTATCGGCAGCATTAATAAATTTAAATGGCTAAGCGTTTGGTTGTTTTCTTTTCATTATTTATTGCTGATAAAACACTGTTCGAGTGCTCCGAAAACATTTCTTGATTTTAATTAAATGTGATTTATTGTCAGTTTCCCTCAATTATCTGACGGCGATAAGCTCATGACTGAAGTGTGTTTCTACGACTCTATTTAAAGGTCCGCATTATCTCGACAAACAGTCTTGGCCCTGAGTTGACTATGTTTGGCTGGTAAGCAATCCTAACTTTAATTAGTTTTGGATTATTTCATTAATTTTGAGTGCTCTATTTTGTTTACATATTTTGTGGCCTATATTTCTGTTTTAGTTTTTAAATTCTTGATTCTCGCATGCATCATTAAATAATTTCTGCATTCGTTTAATAAAAGGGAGTTTTCAAAGCAGATATTTAATTTTTTTTAATTTTAATTTAATTCCGACTGCGTAGCTAACTAGTATACATATATTTCGAAGTGCATATTATATAAAACCTGTCGTGTACAATTATAGAATAATAGATTGCATGTAGAATATATTATATCATAAGATGTACAAAAACATACTACGTAGCACAAATTGTATTATATTACGTAATGTAGTATTATATTACGTAATGTAATAGTATATTACCGATTACGTAAGCTGTATTACGTAAACGATATTACGTAATGTATTAGTATATTACGTATGTATTATATTACGTATTACCGATTACGTAAGCTATATTACGTAAACGCTATTACGTAAGCTATATTACGTAAACGCTATTACGTAAGCTATATTACGTAAACGATATTACGTAAGCTATATTACGTAAACGATATTACGTAAGCTATATTACGTAAGACATTCTACGTAAACGATATTACGTAAGCTATATGACGTAAGACATTCTATGTAAACGATATTACGTAAGCTATATTACGTAAACGATATTACGTAAGACATATTACGTAAACGATATTACGTAAACGTTATCACGTACGGCATATTAACTGATCCTATTTGTGACTTCTTTTCTTCTGATCTGAACTAAGGCTGATTAAGCAATTTTTGAAATATTGCTTGATTTATTTCATCCTCAAAGTCATTCTTAGCTTATATATTACGTAGTACCTATTACGTAATATATATTGCGTAAAACGTATTACGTAGTTCCTATTGCGTGAAAATATTAACTATTCTTAACTTTGGCTTCTCTTCTTGTAATCAATCTGCTACAATGCCGGTTAAGCATTTTCTGAAATAATACTTTATTTCTTTAGTTCTAAGGGACACGCTTAGCTGTTAATTGCATTTATTCTCTGTAAGTAACTTTTCGTAAATAATGCCAGTTGTATATTACTTTTTGCATGCAGTCCCAATAAACAGCTCTTTATTGAATTTATTTGCCTTAACATCATTTGCCTGCCAGCCTGCCGCTGCCAGCGATCCCAACTTTGTGTTGAGCACATCTATCTCTCTGTCTCCATCCCTCTCCCTCTCTCCGTTTCCAGTCAACACAACAACAAATTAGCCTCAATTTCGCTAGGCAATTACATTACATTTAGCTACCTAAACAAAAAAGAGCAAGAAAAAACTGATTAGTTTTGCGTCATGGCCGCAGAGCTACGTTTATTTAGGTTTCCCGTTTGAGCTAACAAAATGAGTTTTTTTCTGTGCCTTTGTGTCCGTTGGCTATTAATAAAAAGGAATTAACGGCAAAAACCGGACCCACGCAGAAAGCGGCCGTGATCCCAATGAGGCGCTTGCCCATAAACAACCAGCCAGGCAGCCGGGCCAGGCCACTCAGCTAGCCAGCGCATAGGTTAATGTGGAAGAGAGAAGTAAACACCGCTCTTCCTCTACCTGCCCTCGTCCCCCTCTCTCTCTCTCTACCTTCCACCCGCCTCGTCTATGTGTTGTTTTGTTGTCGTTGTGATTTTCACACAAAAGCGCTAAAGCGGCTACTAAATTACGTGCTCATGTGTTCTAGTTCTGGAGGCAAACGCCAAAGCGACGCGACATCGACCACTGTCACGGCACCACCCGCCCGCCCACGCCCGCAACTGTTGGATAGGCCGCAGCATAAAAGTCCAAATCGCATTTGGTGCGCTAATGAACCGCAGTGCAGCCCAACCAGACCAGAAGCAAAGCCAAAACCAGAACTGGACCAGACGAGGAGTCCACATCCACATTTACATCCACATCGATGGCGACATCGGCTACGTTTGGTTCAACTACCTCTATCCGCATATTTAAGTGCAAAAAAAAATATACCGTTTAAAAGTGTAACAATGCTGTTAACTACTGCGCTGCGCTGTTCTCTCTCTCTCCCTCTCGTCACTCTGCTACCGTTGGAGGCGTGGCACGCTGACTGACCCCAGGCTACCAACAAAAGCCGCTTGATTAAACTGCATTTGTGTGATATGCTCACATATGTATGCACGTACACATGTGTGTTTGTGTGTGTGTTAGCAGTCAGGCAAAACTCCTGAGAGGTTAGAATGATCAATTGATGTAATTGAGTACATGAAGTGCGCGCTCATCAACTTCTATTTACATATGCATACATATGTATGTATGTATGTGTGTAGCTCAGCTGCAATATGTGCCAAACAAAATAAGGGCAAATGCATATTCTATAATTTTATTGCTCGAACTTCCATATTTACATACGCATACACGCATCAACAGAAATATTCAGCTGATAAACGTTTCGTCTCACTCGCACTCTATAAATTCTACTCTCTGGCCTTCACACTCTGCTTCGCACTTGCCTCTTCCATGCGATTTGCACTCACGCAAACTATGCCCGACAATAAGTCCCGCTAGCCTTGACTCTTTGCTCTCTTACATTTCTCATGACCTTTTTTGCATATAAACCTACAAAGCTGGAGCTATTAATAAAGTTTTCGTTCAAGTGCAACCACAAGAAAAAAATGGCTGAATAAAATGTGCACAAATAATTGCCAACTGCTTCGAATATTAAAGTGTTTGTGAGTGCGAGTGTGTGAGTGGTTGTGTTTGCGTTTGCTTATTGACGGTTTACTTATTTCTTTATATTCGTGTCCGGCAGAAAAGTTGCACAGAAAGTTCAAAGGCAAAATGCAGCGCAGGCAAAGCAGAAAGCAAAGTTAAGTTTTGTTAAGGAAGCGAAATGAAATTTTGGCAAAAAAAAAACTAAAAGTGAAGCGATATGCATAACAACAAAAGCGATGCCCAAGCCCTGTCCCTCTCTCTTTCTCTCTTTTCCACTTAAGGCTGAGAGTGAATGAGAGGCAGCGACGAAATAAATGAAAATGCAAAAGTGGAAGAAGTAAAAAGTTTTGTAATATGCCGCCAGCCGCTCAACGCAGAGCAGTGAAGCTTTCGGATCTGCGGCAGAGCGGAAGCAGAGAGCAGCGGAATAGTGCAGCAACAGCTGCAAAGTCACAGCACATCAACAATTGAGAAGAGTGCGAGCATTGAAGAAAAGCAAGTAAGAGAAAGAGAAGTTATTCACTGTTGCTTCCCATTTTGCATTTCCATTTCCAATTTAAGTTTGCAGTTGACTTTCATATAAGCATAATGCAACAATATTAAAAACTAAACAATCATTAGTAAAGCTTAAGCTTTTTGTTTATATTTAGTCTTAGATCAGATAAGATTGTAAAACAATGCTAGATTTGAAAGCACAATCACAGGCACTGTCAACTGGAAAGACAAAGATAGCAGGTAAACGGCTACAGTTGCTTGTAGTGTAGGTTGCTAACAATAGATGGCGCCACAGCAAGAACAAAGGATGGTAGATAAGTTAAACAAACAACAAGCATTGTAGGTAACGCGCGAAATTTGAAACTCCTTCTAGACACACAAAATAAAATTGTCAAAACAAAGTTTTGTCAACGCAAGGGCAGAGGGGAAAGGCAGCGGAATGTGTTGTGCAGCTAAGCAGAGAAACATGCCAAAGTGACGCATGACAGCCGAAAGTGGCCAAGCGATTAGTTTAAATGCCAAAAGCAGAAACCACAACCGAGAGACTGCAATGTCAATTTACAGCAATGTCATTCTGACAGTCTCAAGCCATAGACAGAGAGGAAGACAGCGGGAGGGAGCAAAAGAAAGAGCAAGAAAAATTGACAAAAATTGTAAAGAAGACACACATGCACACACTCACACATACATATGTATGTATATGATAGCGGAATGAGAGCTGATGTACAATGTACACGATGTACATATGTATGTACATATGTGAGTGTATTTGATTCAAGGGAAGACAAAATGCAAGGAATTGGAAATGGTCAAGTAGTTCAAGTAGTTGTTGTTTTGGTAGTTGTTAAATTCAGTTGTAACACTAACCAGAGAACACATAGACCGGACACGTAGTGTAAAGTGTTTTGCACACTTTTTTTT